TTATCAATGCTCTAGGCTGCTTTATAAAATTATTAAGTTACATAGTAGTTGCAGATCTGTTATTTATAGAGGGAGTTTGCTCACCTGGAGTTCCCTACATCAATCATATCATGGGTCCTGTCCTTATCACTGTCACTTATATAGTGAGCCAAAGCTGGTATCTTTGATTTTATATTACATTAGGAGGATGCTGCTGCTATCACGGCAGTCAGGCTATGTAGTATAAATTTCAAAGCTCCAGGACAAAGGCATTTCATAACTTATTAACTACTATCTTGTTTTATTAAACATGAAATTATTAACTCACCAAGATGCCAATTCATCTGAGTGGATTAGAGGTTGTCACATCCTGTAGGGATTATAAGAAATATTATTGAGATAAATTTTGGTAACTCTTTTGATTATAACTAAATATATTAACCTGTATTAGAATCATAAAACTAGTTGAATACAAATGTAATTCTTTTACTTTAGTAAAACTTTCAAACTCATATGAGAGAGATGTCAACCAATGTGTGAATCCAAATACTTTGGGATGAGAAAAATTTCCCTCCCATCAGAGGCACAACACATACCTTTTTGTGTCTTTTAGCATCAACTAAAAGCCCTCGGAATTTTTGAAAACTTGAGGCCAACTTTTGAGCTGCTTCAAATGAGTTAATGACAAAGAAATACCAGTTAACTGTACCCCCCATATTCCATAAATTTTCTCCAGAAAAGTTGTGTAAATAAACTAATATTTACAATGGAGCAGTGCTACCTCAAGAGGTAATTTCTCCCTCTTGGGAGTTCTTCATACTGGGTCTAGATGCCCATTTCTCAGGTATGTGATGAGGGGGATTTCTTTTGTCTAGTATATCTTTTGGATCTACTTTCTTTGATTTGAATTACTTCTTATAATTCTTCCTGTGACTCTCTTGATGTTACCCTGATTTCTCCCTTCTCCAAGCTAAATATTCTCAGTGCCTTTAGCTAGCCTTCGTGTGATGTTGACTAAAGGCCATTCACTTAATAAATGTCTTTTGGATTGATATTCAATGCTGATAGTTGGTCTGAATCAGTATAAAAATAATGAAATAATCTAAATTATTGCACACATTTATTGCTAAAAATCATTCTCTTGATCTACCCTTGCAGAGAACCTGGCAATAAATGAAATGAGGCAAATCACTTCTCCCTGTTTTTGTCATGGTTTATCCAAGGACAGCAGACTTAGTGCTTCAAATCCACAGCCTTTCCATCTCGGAAAAAGAACTTACCAGAACTTATGCTTCATTTTTGGAATCCAGGGTCATCTCTGAGCTATAATGAAGCATTATAGTATAACTTCATGAAGGAATCTCTGGTTCAATGTTTATTACGCATATTTTGTACATTTTTAATATAAGTTCCTCTTATATAAGGTATTGTGTCTTGTGAATTACCAGTCCTCTCACTTGGTCTTATTTCCATGTTTTATATGTTGCTCTCTATATTTGAGATACAAAGAGACAGGAGAAAATGGAAGAAGAGAGAGAGAGAGAGAGAGAGAGAGAGAGAGAGAGAGAGAGAGAGAGAGAGAGAGAGAGAGAGAGAGAGAAAGAAGGAGTGGGAGAAGCAATTTTTTTCCTTCCTTATCCATTTTCAATTAAAGTCCTTCATCAATATCAATGGGCCTTCCACTTGGGCAGCTAAGGTCTTCAGTTATTTGCTTTGAATTTCAATTTCATAATCTTCAGTGATATTTCTATGTTACTTTTGGCAGTATCATCTGTCCCCACATAAACCATAGGGAGTAGATAGTGATTATTTGATTCGACAAATTTATAGACAACCTCTGTCATGTTCCAGATGCATGCCCCAAGACAACAGCATTTCTCTTTCTTATTTTTGTCAGGTTGACAAATAGCAACCTTGCTACCACTACTTCATGGAATCATTTGGCAAATACTTATGTAAAATGATAAATCTTTCTAAAAAGAAAACATTGCCCTCTAATTTTTTGTTTTGCAATTTTGGTACAGTGTATTGTTGTACAGTGTTTACTGTACTCAGTAAAAATAAACAGGATTAGGTCTATTCAACATTCTATAGTAACAGTTTGATATACCAGTGGTGTGGAGGAAGATCATAATTACAGTCTTCAGGTAGATTTGGGGATATTCTGTAGATGGTGATAAGGGAATGTTCTCTGTTTCTATTTAAGACATTACAACAGGTAGCAGAAATCACTTGAGTATGGTCATTGAATCCATATTATTAAGGATAATGATGTGCATAATCAAGGCTTCAATGAGATAAAAAGGGATCTAATGTGGATGAAAGGTGATGAGATGGGACCCTCCTCAGAAGGTTGAAGAGCATGAAGGGGGAGGATACTTCCAGTCAAGATGACTGCCTGTGGAAGCAGACCACCCAGAAAACCTACACTAGCAATGCTCCAACATTAGCAGCAGATCAGAATTTTTTGTTCATTTTCAGTCATGTATAACTCTTTGTGACCACAAGGGAAGCCTTAGAAAAAAGATGTTGGAGTGGTTTGCCATTTCTTTCGCCAGCTCATTTTATAGATGAAGAAACGGAGGCAGACCAGGTTAAATGACTTGCTCAGGGTCACATAGTCAGTAAGTATCTGAGGCTGGATTTGAACTCAGGTCTTCCTGACTCCAGGCTCACTGCTTTACCTACTATACCACCTAGCTGCCTTTGCAAACAAAATTAATTAGAAACTACAGTGACTTTTTACATAACAGAACTATACAAAAAGTCAGCAATTATCCTATAATTAAAAAAAATCTGGATAATATGATTTAAGGTATAATAAATGAAAACTTCCCAACTATATTAGAAGCAGAGCACAAAGTAAAGACAGACAGATTCCACAGATCACTTCCTAAGAGATATTCTGAAATGAAAAGTCCCAGGGAAGACTCAGCAAAATACAGAACTTATGGGTCAAAGGAAAAAGCAACGCCAGTAATCAGAAACAAAATGTTCAGGTACCAAAGATCACACAAGACCTGGCATCTTCTATTTTAAAGAGGAGGAGATCTTGGGATACAGTATTGCACATGGCAAAAGAGATATGCTTACAACCAAGAATAACATCTTACAAAGAAAGTGAAATCTTACATGGGAAAAATGGATTTTCAATGGAGCAGAGGATTTTCGAGCATTCCTGAAAAGACCAGAACTGAATGGAAACTTTGAAATGCAAACACAAGAGACAGATGCACAATAAAAAGGTAAATTTATTTGTAAAGTTATAAGGAATAGTATCATGATGTAGTCCTGATATTCTAATGGTATTCCGTTAGAGAGAAAAGGAATATGTTCCTTCAGAATCTTAATGCCTTTAAAGGGTATACTGATGAAGTTAAATAAGAAAAATAGAGGCCTTAGAGTGGGAGTAGTTTAGTTCTTTTCTGAGGGCTTTTAAAAAGATGAAAAGGAACACATTAGTATAGGTCAGAGAAAGTTGCTAGAAGAATGTATAAACATGGAGGGCTGAGGAAGAGGGCTTAGGACGAATCTCATTCTTATCAGAAATGGACAAATGGACAAATACACATCAAACTCAGTGAGGGAAACAAACATGGATAGGGAAGGTAAATAGTAGTAGGGAGGGAATGTCTATAAGTGAAACGAACTTCCTGATCTTGAACAGGGCTATTAAAGGGAGGAGGGGGGAGAGCAAATAATTACAGTCTAAGGGCATGACCATCAGTTGGGAAATGGCTCAACAAAATGTGGCTTCTAAAAGGATACCCATCAATTGTGGATTGACTGAATAAACTGTGGCATATAAATATAATGGAGTATTATTATTCCATAAGAGATAATGAAAGTGATAACTTCAAAGTATCTTGGGTATACACTGATGCAGAGTGAAGAGAGCAGAGCCAGGAAAATTATTTATACAAAGAGAGCAACATAGCAAAGAAAAACAACTTTGAAAGATTTAAGAACTCTGCTCAATTCAATGATCAGCTATGTTTCCAGATAGGCTCAAAGTGCAAAAGACACATTTGTGGACATGGCCTATGTGTGGATTTGTTTTACAAGACTATGCTTCTATGTTACAAGGAATTTGTTTTCTTTCTTTTTATTTTAATTAGGGTGTTAAGAAGGGGGAAGTAGCAATAGTGATGACAGAAAGGAAGCCATTGAAACATTTTTAAAGTGTACAAAAGGGGACAGAAGGAAGTTCAGAAGGAAGCACAAACAGGAAGTTGTAAAATGGCATGTGGAATTATTATTTACTCCAAAAAATAAGTAGTAGGAAATAGAGATTAATAATCCTCTTTTTTTGTATTCTTTAGTACAGAAATATTCTTTTTTTGTTGTTTAAGTTCAGAAAAAAATTAAGAGAATGGAAAGTGAGAAAGGGAAGGAAAATTCTACACTTTGAGCTCAAAAAACAGACTTCTGCTTTAGGAGCTTAAAGTCTGAGGTAGAAGATTGTGGGATATAGAAATTTTAATTATATCTAGTCTGTATGTGCCCCGACCTGCAGGGCCAGTATACGTGGGGGGTCGAGGAGGACCCTGGCTGAAAGGAATGGGTGAAAAGGAGGAGTGAGACCAAAAAGATGGTAGGCAAGGTCTAATTTTATTTTTGAGCGTTACAAGCTTATATAGGGCAAAAGCGGGGAGGGGCAAAAGGGGAAAAGGGTGGCCTCCGGGACTTTCCAGGGGCGGTGTGGCACATCTTGCGGTTAGCCCTGACAGGAACACGTTATGGTACGGTTTGTCCCGGAACAAGCTGCTTGGGGTGTGGTAATCTCACGGGGTTAGGGGCCCACTACCAGGTGCTGGCCTCCAGCATGTCCCCCTTTTTTATTTAGAATAGCAGGTGAGAGGCCTGTCTTAGGCTATGAGGTCGGCGTCCATGGTCAAGGCGCATTGGTGGCAGTAGTCCCTGTCTTAGGCTAAGTGAGGGGACCCCATGATGTTACCCACCATGGCCTCACTCTACTCCCGTCATGGGGAAGCAACTGCAGCCGCGCTGATCTTTTTTTGAACATGGGACCTCAATATTCCCGTCATGGGCTCTCTCACAGCTGCCAGATCACTTTTTATCCTTAATATTTCTCCACCACCGCGAGCAGCGAGATTCCGGATGCACGAGCTTCGAGAACTGGAGACCCTCTTCCATGGTATCAGTAGGATCTTCTGACGAAGCAAGTTGGTGGTAATGGATATTGACGGTGTTTTTAAGAGAAGCCTCAATCTGCGTCTTAATGAAAGAGGTTAGTCTGGTAAAGGCCCAAGGTCCAAAAGAAAAAAGTAGGAGGAGACCAATTAAAGGTCCAAGAAGAGGGAGGAGGTATGGGAGGACTCCATTCAAGCCACTCCAGAGGGGATTTTCAAAAAGTTTTTGCGTCTTTCAATCAGATCCTCTTGCAGTTTTTTGATTTTATCCCGCACTATCCCAGATTTATTTGCATAGAAGCAACATTTTTCTTGTAGGGCTAAGCAAATTCCCCCTTGTTCTGCCGTGAGTAAATCTAGGCCCCTCCTATTCTGAAGAACGACTCCCGCCAGGGAGTCAATTTGGTCTTGAAGGTCATTTATCGTCCCCGAGAGGGTTTGCACATCATTAAGAAATTGATGGGATAGTTTTGTATATGAATCAACAGCAACTCCTATGCCGGCAGAGCCGGTAGCGAGTGCCCCTGTAATCCCAAGGCCAACAAGGAGGGGGATAAATGCAACAGCCCTCTTGGGTCTTCCAGTAATATAATCAAAACTGGGCAGTGGGACAGGCTCATCTCCCGGAATGATGTCGATATCAGGGAGGATTGAAATTTGTGTGCAGAGTCCTGTCCAATTCTGGGGGAGGCAGAGTAGGCCATATTTCCCCCACAGGCGAAAAGTTGTCCCGGCAGGGGACAGAGAGGTTCCTGTGAGGTATAGTTTTTGACTTCAGAGCAATTAGCAAAGGTAGCAAAACCAACATCAATATCAGCAGTGGAATTCTGAAATGGGGCTTGGATACAAGGAGAGGGGCGGAGACCAACAGGTTGTACCTTAAAAGGTGGACTAAGTGTGCAATTTGTGGATGTGGAGCCATTTTTGGACATCAAAGCTATGGGCATAGGTGTGCCAAGGGCCATACACAGCCAGCAATCGGCAGCCAAATCAGGGTTAGAGTAATTAAGGGCCTTAAGTGTTGCTTCAAGGATTTCTGAAGTTTGGACATCTAGGTCCGTTCCCCGGGGTTTGGGCAGTGCAAGTGGATGGTAATGGATGGGGGGGGTACATACTCTTAATTATTTCGTTTATACGTTCCCTAACCTCATGTTCCCTAATTTGGTCTGTAGGGCCACCCCCATCAGAGATATGGACAGGTGCATGAAGGGGCCAACAGACATTTTTTCCAATATTTTCTTTACGACAGGAAGCCTGAGCATACTTATTGGTACTTCCACGTAGGCCTTGGCTAGTTATATGCGCCCAGTCCCCTCCTGTGGAGCCACCATATTCTCTTTCCTGTATTGTAGTAAGATAGACTGTTCCTGAGCTGCCACTGCACTGCTGGGTAGAACTATAGCATGTGGAGTGCAAGGCCTCAAGGTAGTTGCAATCACTGGGGCAAGGCCCGGGCTGGCCACCATTCGGAGGGATAACTCGGGGCTTCCTTACGCATTCCCACTTGGGTTTGGAGACGCCCGTGATAGAATGACGGTAGGCGAGGTAGGCTGTCTTTTCCCCGCAGTCCACTTCTTGCGTGTAGGTGGCGGGACGGACAGTGAACGTGCCCCCGCCGCAGTCACAAGGGCTTCCAAAGAGGGCACGGCTGAGCGCTACTGGGTCAGGAGATTGAAAACCACCGTGGCTCCCACGGAACAGGAGGAAAATTACGAGGATCGTCATTTTCTGTAAAACAGAGAAAGAAAACAGAGGTGTCTCAGGGGGGTGTGGTTCCCTGGACGGCATTATGAGTTTCTGGCTTGTCCATCAACCTAATCAGCCTTTCAGGCAACCATCTAGCATTTTGGCACTTTGAGTCATAAATACAAGCATGGCCTTTGCCCCAGATTAACACAGGATCAGGGCCCTGCCATTTGCCAAGCAGGGGATCTTTCCATTTTGCCTGAGCGTAGGTTTGGGCCGTAGTGGAATGCCAAAGGCGGTCTGCGGCACTCTTTGCCGCAGTGTCCAGAGTGAGAAAATTTAAAACAAAAAGAGCGTGATTGAGCAATGTTTTGGCATTGCCAGCTCTGGGATAAAGAACTTCCCTCCCTGATTGTAATTTCAGGATCATGTTTTTCAGTGTCTGATGGGCCCTTTCCACAATTCCTTGCCCTTGAGGATTATAGGGTATACCAGTAACATGCTTAATATGCAACTGTGTACAAAAAGATCTGAAAGAAGAACTGGTATAACCAGGGCCATTATCTGTCTTAAGAATTTTGGGCTGCGGGAGGACCGCCAAGGCACTAAGGAGGTGATTAATGACATGTTTGGTGGCCTCTCCAGGTTGCAGGGTGGCAAAAATGAAGCCACTGAAGGTATCAATGGACACATGAACATATTTAAGCCGACCAAAAGGGGGATAGTGAGTGACATCCATTTGCCAAAGTTCCCCGGGGATAAGACCTCGGGGATTGATGCCATTATGAGGTTCAGGAAGGAGGGTCAGGCAACCAGGGCACTGTTTCACAATCTGTCTGGCTTGTTCCCGGGTTATAGGGAACTTGAGACGAAGCGTATGGGCATTCAGGTGATGCAGCTTGTGGGCTTGTGTGGCAGCCTCAACAGGGGAGGCAGACAGAGCAAGCAGAATGCGACGAGTTACTTGATCAACCTGATCATTCCCTTCAGAAAGAGGACCGGGGAGGTCGGAATGGGCACGAATATGACCAATGAAAAAGGGGTGATCGCGGGAGAGAATTAGAAGCTGAAGAGTGGCAAAAAGAGGAGACGCATTAGTGGAGGGACGGATATACGGGACGGTTTCCAATAGAGGGACTGACTGTGCAATATAGGAACTATCAGTATAAACATTGAGGGGGCCCGAGACAGATTCAAAAACCTTAATGACCGCTGCGAGCTCTACCAGCTGCGCGGAGGTGAAAGGGGTGTCAAAAGAGGTGACCTGTCCATCAACACTAAAGGCTGCCTTCCCTGTGGCGGAGCCATCAGTGAACGCCAAATGGGCGCTCTCTATGGGCTCCGCTTTGGTGATCCTTGGGAAGACCACGGGTGTTTTCTGAAAGAACTGAATGAGCTTATCTGAGGGATAATGATTGTCTATAGCTCCCATATAGGAAATGCAATTAACTGCCCAATCATCATCATTCTGAAGCAGCCATTGAATCTGCGAAGCAGTGTAGGGGCAAACAATATGATCTGGTTCCCGACCAAAAAGCCGAAGGGCTGCCTCTCGGCCGAGGCGCAGGAGCCCCGCCGTTAAATGCGGGTAGGAGGAAAGGATCTTTGTAGGTGTGGCTGGCATATGAATCCAAAATAACGGATGTTCCTGCCACAATAATCCAGTGGGGGAAAAAGCGGTGGAAAAGATTAAGAACCAAAGAGGTTTTTGAGGAGCGTAATAGCCAATATGTTGATGAATGGCTTGCTCAATTAAGGCAAGGGCCTTACGGGCCTCCGGCGTGAGAGAGCGGGGTGAATTTGGATCGGAGTCTCCTTTAAGAATATCAAACAAGGGTCGCAGTTCCCCTGTAGTGATCTTAAGATATGGCCGAAGCCAATTCAATTCTCCCAGTAATTTTTGGAAATCATTAAGGGAGCAAAGGTGACTCACTCGTAGGCGAACCTTCTGGGAGAGAATGCGATTCGTCAAGAGTTCAAATCCCAAGAACAGCTGGGGGGGGCAGGTTTGCACTTTATCAGGGGAAATATTAAGGCCCCGATATTCCAACGCCTTAATGAGCTCCTGTGATACCTGAGTCAATTCCTCATTATTTGGTCCTGCAAGGAGGATATCGTCCATATAATGGATAATATAAAGCTTGGGATACTGCAAGCGGAAAGGATCAATTGTTTGGGCAACATATTTTTGGCACAGCGTAGGGCTATTAGCCATGCCTTGTGGCAAAACTTTCCACTGAAAGCGCGGAGAAGGGCCCACACAATTGGTAATAGGAACACTAAAAGCGAAGCGCTGACAATCGGAAGGGTGGAGGGGAATGGAAAAGAAGCAATCCTTAAGATCAATTGTAATCTTAGAAAAATCTTGCGGTATGGCTACAGGGGAGGGGAGCCCAGGTTGAAGGGCCCCCATAGGAATCATAGTTTTATTGACGGCCCGTAAATCATGTAAGAGTCGCCATTTACCTGATCTTTTTTGGATAACAAAAATGGGCGTGTTCCACGGGGATGTAGATGGTTCTATGTGACCTGCAGCTAGTTGCTCCTGCACTAAAGCAAGCGCTGCCTCCAGTTTTTTCTTGGGTAAGGGCCACTGGTCTACCCAGACGGGTAGGTCATTTCTCCACGAGATCCTATCTGCCTGGAGTGCAGGAGGACCCGTGGCCCTCACGAAAAATGGTTCTGATTATCTGGGCTCTCACAACCAAGGCCTGCTCGTCCTTTTCTCCCTTCAGCAACAATGGGGACAGTTGCCCTTGACCTTTCTTGCCTAATCCTTGCCCTGGGAGAAATCCCTGGGAGAGCATTTGACGGGTCACAACGGTATTTGGGCTGCACATAATTACCCCCATCTGTGAAAGAATGTCCCTTCCCCATAAGTTGACAGGTAAGCCGGGGATCACAAAAGGCCGAACAGTCCCTTTATTTCCTTCTTTGTCTTGCCAAGGCAGCCATTGAGAGCTCTGTAGGGTATTGTGGGATTGACCTATGCCCTGCAAGTGTGTCATGGATGGTTGAAGGGGCCACGAAGATGGCCAACTGTCTTTTGAGATAACAGTCGAGTCAGCTCCTGAATCTAATATTCCTTCAAAAAGCCTGCCTTGAATAAAAAGCGTAAGCATGGGGCGGTCTTGGGAAATGGCCTGGACCCAATAGATGTCTGAGGAACCAGGCTTGGAGTGGCCTCTAACAGTGGCGAGAGCAGGGTATGGAGTCTGTAGGGGGAGCGGGAGAGCCTGCGCAAGGCGTTGTCCCTGACGGACAGTGAGGGGCCCTTTCAGGGTTGAGGCAAGTATCTGAATTTCCCCCGTGTAATCACTATCCACAATGGAGGGGTGAATCATGAGGCCATTAATAGTAGCGGAGGCGCGACCAAGGATGAAAAAATAGAAGTCAGGGGGCGGGGGGCCAAAGATGCCTGTAGGAATAATATGGACGCCACCCTCAGGGGTCAATACTGAGGTGGAGGCGGCACACAAGTCCACCCCTGCGCTTCCTGCAGTGGCTCTGAAGAGTGGGTGTGGACTGGCTGATCCCCGAGGCCCGAACAAAGGGGTCGACTGGGGGGCCCGGGGCTGGCCCCTCCGACCGTTTCCCTGTAAAGGGTGGCCATGAACGTCTGTAGTTGAGCGGCAGGTATTTGCCCAGTGTTTCCCTTTCCTACACCGAGGGCAGAGGGTGGAGGGTTGGGAAGCCTTATTGCTGATTGGAGCGGAGGGAGTGTCAGGGGCACTAGGGCACTGTCGGGCAAAATGGCCAGGTTGACCACACCGGAAGCATGCCTTTTGGGAGTCCCCGGTTTGGAGAGCTGCCCCTATGGCCAGATGTACGGCCTGGGACATTTTGGTAGTGAAGGGATCTACATCTCTGCACATACGTATCATTTCCTCTAATGTTTTATCTCTCCACTTCCCGCGTAAGGCAGACCGACAGGCATTGTTAGCATTTTCATATGCTAAGCGTCTCACAAGCTGATCATTAGACGCTTCTTGCCCTAAGGTTCGTTCAGTTGCTTCCAAGAGCCTACTAACATACTCAGAGAAATCTTCCTGAGTTCCTTGTACGATCTTATTAAGCGGAGCAAGGGGGGATCCAGAAGTGGGCAAGGCACGCCAAGCCGCGAATGCAGCATTGGCGGTTTGCGCCAAGAGGCCTATTGGGAGGCAGCGTTGTTTGGCCTCCTCTGCGTATTTCCCTTGACCACTCAACTTCTCATAAGTCCACTTTAAAGCGGGGGAGCCAGGGGATTTTTGGTTGGCTGTAGCCATGGATTGGCAGCGGTCGAAGAAATCTGCTTTCCATGTCAAGAACTGCCCCCTTGAAAGGACTGCCTGTACTACACGAAGCCATTCTGCCGGCAAGAGATATCCTCCGCGGGACATAGATTCAAGAGCTGAGAGGGTGAACGGGGCGTTAGGACCATAGGACTTGACGGCGGCGTTAAGATCCTTAATCCCTTTGAACTGCAATCTCCTATATTCTAACCGCTGTCCTTCCTTTTTTCCAATTGCCTTCCTCTTCCCCTCTCCTGTCCCTCCCCCTCTCCCTCGTCCTCTTCCCTTCTTCCTCACTTTCTTCATCTCCCTCCCCTTCACTGGCAGAAACTTCCTTGGGGTCGTTGTGTGGGGAGTCAGGCTGACGAGACCGGGTCATAACAGGGAATATCATGGGCTGCGCCTTTTTAGATTTTTTTATCTCTAGCACTGGCTCTGATCTTTTTCAGGGGTTTCTGATGTAACTGCGACCTATTGGGGGAAAAAATGACAGAATTCTGGAGGGAGTGTTGCAGGGAACTCAGTTCCGAAGAGAGTTGTGCATATTGCTTTTGTAGATCTAAGACTTCTCGGAGCTCCTTAACTTGAGTGGAGAGTTGACTTCTGGCGGATGTGAGGGCTGAGGAAGTGGGAATGGGGGGCAAAAGCGCAGGAGCGCAAGTCTGGGATATGTAGGGAGGGGGTAGGTACTGGGGAGTTATGGGCCAGTCCGGGTTATTATATCGGGCGGCTTCTTCCTCCAGTTCCGCCTCGTCCCCGGGATCTAGAGTATCAGGGTCAGGATCTCCTAAAGGAGGAGTTTTGTGTTTTGCAATTATAGGCAGTGTTAAAGGTTCAGTAGCCGGGACCGTTTCCACAGGGAGGGGAGGATAAAGAGGCTTTGGAGGTTCCGGCGGAATGGTAATGACCACGGAGGGGGGTCTAGGGGGACTTTTTCCCACTGATTCTAATGACTTTGTAGAGGCGGTTCGTGATAAAGGGCGCTGTAGCGATTTAACAGAAGCTGCCCGCGACAAGGGGCGTAAACAAAACTCTGCCACCGAAAGGAGTTGGCGCTTGCCTGGGTCCCCAGGGGCAGATTCCACTATGTCTCTGATGATACCCCAGTAAGAAAAAGCCGAGGGAGGGACCGCCTCTGGCCCTTCAGTTTGCAACTTTCTATTGAGGTCTCTCCCGACCTTCTGCCACTTTCCCGGATGAATATCTGGGCCGGTAACCATAAACCAAGGGCAGACCTCATCTACAAAAAGAAAGAATTTCAAAAGGTCCTTTTTCTTAACTTTAACTCCTCTCTCCTTAAGGGCATACTTAAGGTCTTGGATAAAGACCTGCTCCTTAGAAAGGTTGGAACCCATGATTAGAATGAGGCGGACGAAAACTCAACTTACCAAAACGCAGGGGCTCTTCATGAGCGATGAGAAGGAGGGGGTCGCGACGAATCGTTTCTCAATGCTGGTCCGCCTGGCAGAAATCCGGACCTCGAGCCCCACGTTGGGCGCCACTTGCCCCGACCTGCAGGGCCAGTATACGTGGGGGGTCGAGGAGGACCCTGGCTGAAAGGAATGGGTGAAAAGGAGGAGTGAGACCAAAAAGATGGTAGGCAAGGTCTAATTTTATTTTTGAGCGTTACAAGCTTATATAGGGCAAAAGCGGGGAGGGGCAAAAGGGGAAAAGGGCCTCCGGGACTTTCCAGGGGCGGTGTGGCACATCTTGCGGTTAGCCCTGACAGGAACACGTTATGGTACAGTTTGCCCCAGAACAAGCTGCTTGGGGTGTGGTGTTCTCACGGGGTTAGGGGCCCACTACCAGGTGCTGGCCTCCAACATGTATGTATGAAATTCTGTAGGACAGCTCTCTAAGACTATGAATTGCAGATCTGCATTGGCAGTCATATTTAGCTTTCTCTACCAATTTAAATCCACTTAAACTTTGATTCTCAGTGTTCTCCTACCCTCACACTTTGAGAATCACTTTTCCCATGCATAGACTACTAGTGACATTCAAATATTAATTCTTCTAGGGCTTGCAACCACTCCACCAGATGTTAAAATTGCTCTTGGTGGGGAAAGCATTGAAACCAATGACTCAGTCTCATTGCCTGGACAGTAACTGGGTGTACCTGGTTCTACATAATATTTTGATTCTCGCTCTCTGTTGTTCAGTCATTTTTCACTCATGTCCAACTCTTCATTGACCCCATTTGGGATTTTCTTGACAAAATTACCAGAGTGGTTTGCAATTTACTTCTCCAGCTTATTTTACAGATGAAGAAACTGAGGCAAGTAGGGTTAAATGACTTACCCTGGGTCACACAGTGACTTTAGTAAATGTCAGTAAGGCCAGATTTCAACTTAGGAAGATGAGTTTTCCTGACTCCAGGCCTGTTGCTCTATCAACTGTGCTACCTAACTGCCCTTCTCACTCTCTGAAGGCCTTCTAAATCAAGGTTTTCCCTATAATCAAACCAACCCTCAGGGGCTCCCAAATCAGAGACACCAATATAATTGCTAAAGATTTTGCTCTCATCATATACTCCCACTGCCTGGGTTCTCATGACTGAACATACACATATACATTTACTCTCACAGTCATTCTCTGACTGTAACCACCATTCAGCAGCAACTCAACTTCAATCACAATGCTAAATTTCTGTCTATATTCTATATTCCAAACCCAAAGAACTTACTTGTTAACTACACCTATAGATTACCAGCATCTAGTCATTGTCAGAATTTTCCTTATCACTCAGAGGATAATTGAACTGATGAGCAGAAATGGTTCCCCTTATTAGATTCACAGCTATAGGGTTGATTTCTTGTGTTCTTGTTTCTGTTATTGTAGTGGGTGTGCAGAGGGTCCTTCTTGGGTCCTTACTCTACCAACAAGGAGGGTAAGAGGTCCCTTAAATTAAATGTGAAGTTTTCTTGGCAGAGTTAATTCTGACAGCTGCAAATCCCTTGAGATATTCTGGTATTTGTTGTTCCATTGAGGCTCAATTGATAATGATGATGTTTTGCAGCAAGTTAATATAGCTAAGTCATAGCCTTAGGCTTGGCTTTTAAAAGGCAACATGGAGAGAAAGAATCAAGATGAGAAAGGAGAGGGTGCAAACAAAGAGTGAGAGAGTTGGGGGGGGAAGGAGGGTGGGTTGGGGAGACAGACAGACAAAGAGAGAGACACTGAGAGATTGTGCAGAGTGAAGCTAGGCTACACAAAAATTCAGAAACATCTTCCTGGATGGAGTACTGCAAACGCACAAAGCTCCTCCTGGAATCCACATAGCCCCAGAGATATGTGTAGGGGACAGAGGTAGTAACTGAATGGCAAGATATTCCTAGGCCAAGTGGGAAGATAGAAGAACACTACCATAGCAGTGGAGTTATTCTGGATCCAAATTTCCAAGGTCCAGTGCCTTATTTGAGAGATGTCTAAATAGCACTTAAGACGATCATCAGGAAGAGTGACTGGATCTAACTAAAAACATATATAATCCCTACCTGTGAGTTGGAATAGAGGTCCTGTGAGGTTTCTTCCAATTCTAAAATTCTAATTCAATGATTTTGTCACCTTTTCAGAATCTATCAACAGTGCTGATAATAATTAATGCTGGTGATAATAATGACTATAGCTGGCTAGAAATAGATAGCTATTTGCTTTTCTTCACTTCCAAACTTACCTCACAGAACAGAACCAAAAAGATAGTTCCATGGCTTTGTTGCTAAACATCCCATTGTTTATGACTATGTAAATTCACTTACTTCATATTGCTTTAAAATTTCCGTAGCACTTTACCTGCATCATCTTCATTAGACCCTCACAACAACCCCGTAAGGTCGGTAGGGAGTGGACACCATAATTTTACAGATTAGTAAGCTGAGGCTTTGGGGGACTGATAGGTAGCACAGTGAATAGAATGCTGGTCCTGGAGTCAAGAGGGCCTAAATTCAAATCTGTCCTCAGATACTAACTAGCTGTGTGACACTGGCAAGTCACTTAACCCTATTTGGTTCAGTTTCTTCATCTGTAAAATGAGGTAGGTAAGGAAAAGGCGAATCACTCCAGTATCTTTGCCAAGAAAACCCCAAATGGGGTCTCAAAGAGTCAGACACGACTGAAACGACTAAACAACAGCAACAATAAACTGAGGCTTAGAGATTAGGTGGCTGTTCCATGGTCACACAACTAATTTCTATCTGTGGCAGGATTTGAATTTTGATGTCCCAATTCCAAGCCCAGCACTTTCTCCAGCATACCACGTCATTCCAGTCTCATTATACCTGGATTAAGCAGACAAGGACTTTAGCTTATAGGCAGGTCATCTCATTTTCTTTCTCTATTCTTTTTTGCCTTAGATATATTATTTTGCAAAGATAAGCTAATGTATTTGTCTTGATCTTTGTCTAATGTGCTGAGAATATTAGTCTTTTTCATAATTCATTCAACATAAAGTTAATTGTTAGGGCTTCTTTGAATAGGGAGACAAAAGGTATTCATAATAATCAATCTTGAGCTGGCAAAAAGTGCTCTTGAGTGTCTAAATAAACTAAAATATCAAATGATGCTCTTGTGCCCTGAAAAAAAAATAAATCATCTTATAGAGCTAAAATTGAAATTCATATTAAGTCTTTGCAAAGATGCATTTCTTTGCTGCTGTTTATTCTCTCTAGATGCCTTTCACATGAGAATTGTAAGCCTATCTAAATCATTACCAATTCTACAGAATTTTCTTATTCACAGGCAAGAGGAAGCTGTGATAAGTCTAGGGAGTGATGCATATTGCAAACTTACATGTGAGGCAAAAGGAAGACACATTTCAATTGCTCAAGGGTAGATATTCCATCCAACCATGACAAATTGTTTCTTTTGGGATGATGTTTTTTTTTTTTTATCTACCTAGCATTTATATGGCATTTTAAGTTTTTTTGCAAATCATTTTACAAATATTATCTCATTTTATCCTCAAAAAACCCTAGAAAGTAAGGGCTATTATAATACTCATTTTATAGATGTACATGATACACATTCTCCCCTGTGGCAGAATGATGCTATCTAATGTAACATTTGGTCAGTTTTATTATTATTTGTTTTTGACATAATAGATTTTCTTTTGTTATCATTTTTCAGTCGTGTTCAACTCTTCATGATCTCATTTGGGGTTTTATTGGCAAAGACACTGGAGAGATTTGCCATTTCCTTCTCCAGCTCATTTTACAGATGAGGAAACTGAGGAAAACAAAGTTAAGTGACTTGCCCAGGGTCACATAGCTAGTAAGTGTCTGAGGTCAGATTTGAATGCAGTAAGGTGAGTCTTCCAAATTCCAGTCCTAACACTCTATCCACTGAGCCACTTAGTTGCTCAATACAATAAATACTTCTCAGCAAATACCCAAGTAACTTATACTTTGTCCCACCTCCCATCTCCAAGTACATCCTCTGGAAACAAAAAATAATGCAAAACTACAGTAATGTGATTGCCACCAACAACATGCATCACTTTCTTTCCAGTTCAAAAACAGTTATTAGGTACTAATATCATCTGGTTTTTTTTTTTCCTTTTAGTGTTATATTCCTTTAAATTTTGTAGTTATGTATATTGCTATCATCCAGAATGATAGACTCAGTATCCAAAAGCATTTTGACAGGCTATAACATTGAGATCAAGGTTATAAAATTAAATTCAGTAGGGAGAAACATAAAGTCATAGACAGGAACAAAGTAGTCATGGGTATAAACAAGAAAGACATAGCAATTTTAAAAAGATCTGAGTTAGCATTGTCATGTGGCAGGCAAAAAAGCTGATGAGTTGAAAAGCACAGGACTCAGAAATAAGAAGGTGATAATCCCACTGTACTTTGCCCTAAAGTGACCTCATTTATAATATTGTGTTCAACTCCACATGCCACATTTTTAAGAAGGATGTTGATAAATTGGAAAGTGTCCAGAGAAGGGCAGCCAGGATGCTGAAGGACCTAGAGTATATGTCAAAGGAGGATCAGTTGAAAGAACTGAATATGTTTAGCTTGGAGAACCTAAAGGAAGTGGGGCATAATAGATTTGTTTAAATATTTGCATGGCTATGATATGGTGGAGGCATTAGAGTTGTTCTGTTTGGCTCAAGAGGGCAAAACCAGAAGCTCTCAATAGAAGTTCCAGAGAGGCAAAGTTAAGCTTGATATCTGGAAAACAAAACAAACAAAAACAAACGAACAAACAAACAAACAAACCCTTCCTAACAATTAGAGATACCTAAAAGTGCAGTGCTACCTCAAGAGGTAATTTCTCCCTCTTGGGAGTTCTTCATACTGAGTCTAGATGCCCGTTTCTCAGGTATGTGATGAGGGGGATTTCTTTTGTCTAGTATATCTTTTGGATCTACTTTTTTGATTTGAATTACTTCTTATAATTCTTCCTGTGACTCTCTTGATGTTACCCTGATTTCTCCCTTCTCCAAGCTAAATATTCTCAGTGCCTTTAGCTAGCCTTCGTGTGACGTTGACTAAAGGCCATTCACTTAATAAATGTCTTTTGGATTGATATTCAATGCTGATAGTTGGTCTGAATCAGTATAAAAATAATGAAATAATCTAAATTATTGCACACATTTATTGCTAAAAATCATTCTC